GACGGACACGAAGCACATAATCCTTGTCTTTTACAGTTTCCTCTCCTATGTCAGGATAATCATCGTAAGTGGTCCATATTACCTATGACAAAGATAAGACAAATTTTAAGATAAATAACTTGTACCAAATTAATTAAATTAGAAATAAACAAAACAAATTATAATTATACTATAGTAACATCATTTATCTACGCAATATCAAGCTCATGTCACCCGACGAGACCGAAGTTGTAAGCATTTTCCCATTCTCTATGAGGGGCCTACCTGAGGAATCTAGGTTACCATGCCCTTCTTTTTTATGGAATTAGGCACAACAATTTGAAATGCTTGTACGCCGAATACTAAAATACATGTATAAAAAAATAAGAATCACAACAACAAATACCTATCGAACGTTGTAAAAGTATCGAAACACTAATATACTACCATTACCAACAAAAGAATGGTTGATCCACTTAGGTGTCGACGATTAGCATGAACAACCTTTAACAAGGCTCGAAACAAAAACGCTAACGCAACTGTACCCCATGCATACTGACCAGCTACGTCGATATCCTCAAAAAATTGTAAATAGACTGTAGGAACCATACCATTTGTGGAATCCGCAAAAATATTGTGCACTCGACTAGATATAAGAGGTAGTACGGGTGTATCGTAGAATAGTGATGTGGTTGTAGTTCTGTGGTAGCCACTTAAACGTGTTCCTCAGTCATATCAGTCGGATAATGGAATGGCTACGACCAGGTGACAGTTGTCCTATCATGCAGACTATATGATCAACATAGTTCTCCACTCTCCTCATGGTTATAGCTACACCAGCCACCTTTAACCGGAGAATTTTTCATGTATCTTCAAGTGTAAGCATCATCTCCTCGATGTCTACATTGAAGTACCCCGTGTTCGTCTCTACGTGCCACCTCTCGATAATTGTAGATAATATGCCCCGGTCATGCTGATTCATCAATACTATGGTCAGATGATACAATCCAGATCTCCTGACCAAATCAATTTGATTGTTGTTTGTTAACAGCCATGAAGAATTTGCATTGGGCTTCTCATCATTCCTGAGGGTGTTTTCTCGATCCTTAAATAGAATTTGTCATTTCAGATATTAAAATAAATATATTGATTAACTAACATGATAGATAAAGAATATAATTTTAAATACTTATACATGCATCTCCTTCCCGGATCTTCTGTGAAATATGTTCTCTTTGTCTAGTGAGTAATGTAGGAATCTCAGGACCTTCAGGAAAGGGTGCATCTTCTGTCATGATCACTGTTCAAAAGGCCATCATACATAAAAAGCCAAAGACTAATCATTATTACTATTGATGACTATGCAAGTTACATTGGTAATTACTATCAACTTTAAGAGTTAGGAAATGTTAAACATTTTCATAATAAATGACACATTACTATGATATTTTAATGTCCTAGTAAATATTCCTTAAGTCCCTGATGAATTTGATACCTATATTTAAAACCACTATATATGCAACTTACACTCCATTCCAAATAATAACTCATGCTTTCAAAGAACTCATGCCATAAAAGTTGAATGCATGACATGTGATGCTAATTCAACTTAAAATCATGTCTAACTTGGTGTGCATTTATGCCAATTCTACTTAAAAAATGCATAACTTTGTGTACATTTATGTCAATTCTACTTAAAACATGCTGAACTTAGTGTGCATTTATCATATTCATAAGAGGAAGATACATCCACTTTCTAAAGATATAATATGAGAAAAAGATCATCATTTTCTTCAAATGGTGTGTCCTTAGTTTTAAGAGAGGTTTTAAGATAATTCTTATTTCTACTTATGGTTTTGTAAGACTAGGATTTTTGTATAATTATCATTCTTATGATAAATTGAGATCACAAGCAAAAGGAAACAAATCATTCAAATATGACCAGTAAGATGCATTACTAGTTAATATCTACAACTTACATATTTCATATCCTCAGCAATATGGACAAAGTTCATTGACAACATAATGACATCTTCTGATATCAAGAACAGATTAGGTATGCAAAAAGTAACCAAGTTCTTGGTTATAACTTTAGAGTTACAAAGAAATTGTCTGAGAAGATGATTAGGAGAAGAAAGCAAATCATTTGACATGGAAGTTATTAAGTTTGTGTTGAGAGGTGATTCTCCAAATATAATTAATATTAGAAACCCCACTACTTTGAGATATAGACCTGATGTTTTTCACTCCCTACAAACATAAGTCGGCAAGGATTTTAGAACATTTCGAAAATGATAAATATCATCGCTTTTTATTTTTATTTTGTCTTATTGTGATTGACATATGCTAGTTTATGTTGCAATAAATGCAAGGAAGGATTACCAAATAAGTTAATGAACTCATTTTTCATCCAAAATACAGGATACCATCACACAAGCTTGAACAATATTTAGTTTCAAATCAAATATTAAACTTTTTTTTAGCACAATTTCACTAATATTAAAATACAGGATACCATCACACCAGCATATAAGAGTTGTTAGAAACTCGAAACAAAATTTCACTAATAATTCTTTCTTTTCGTTTTTTTTATAGCATCTATCATAAAGCCAAAAAACAAATCCCAAATTTTGATCTCTAAAATAAATATACTTCCTAATTTATAAATCCAACAACTATTTCTTACCTCAAATATGTGATGCGGGAGAGAGAAATTGAGCTCTAGAACACCGTAACCAGTAGCCTTCTAATCGCAGAATAAAGACTGTAACTTCTTCGAACAAATACGGCAGAGTGGCAGAATGGGGGTTTCATTTTTAGGGTTTATATGCCAAACAATTATGGCAATGCGATTGCCGTAATGACTCTTGAAAACATTACAGTATTAAGAATACGGTAATGCTTAGTTTATATATTACGGTACTATACTTACCTTAATATATCTTCAAACTATTACGGTATTTTTAATACGGTAATAATATCTTAATTTGTTACAGTAATTACATTACCGTAATGATTAATAATTTACGGTACAAAGACTATCGTAAATAGTAGTTTCGTCCAAAAAAAAGCCAAAATTCGTTAAAAAGGGCGTTGGCGAGGTTTTGGGAAGTTGGGTTTTCTTTTTTTTTCCAATTTCTTAAAATATGGGTATAGTAGCGGTAATTTCCCTATTATATAATAGTAATAACAATAATAATAATAATAATAATAATATTTAAAATATTTATTATTGAAATAGTAATTATTTAATATATTATTTAAATAATATTTAAATAAATATTTGTTATACATAACAGCACCAACAACAACAATAATAATAATGATGACAATGTTATTATTTAAAATAATCATTATTGAAATTATTTAATATATTTAAATAAATATTTGTTATACATATATTACTCATAATTTGTTGGTCATATATTACTCATAATTTAATATTTTTATTTAATGATTATAATTATAATTTAGAATATATTTATTTTGAATTTTATATATTTTAATAAGGAAAAATATCTCTATATCCCTTATTTTTAGGTTTCATTTCACAATAGACCCGGGGTTTTAAAAGATATATTGGAGCATAAAAATTATAGATTTATTTCTTACAACCCCTTGGCCTAATTTAAACTTGTTTTTTTAGGCCAAATAAATCTAAAAAGACATGTTTTTTTTCTTAAAAGGCAACATCCTAAACTTCTAAAGAGAGAAGGGCTTCATGGAGGTAAGAGGTTACCGGGAGGAGAGAGAGAGGTGTTTGGAGAAACATAGGAGGAGAGAGTGAGAGAAACACAAGAAGAGAGAGAAAACAAGAAGTTTGGGGTATATAAGTGAAGAGATAAATGATTGGGTTTAGAAATAGCATGTCTTTCTCGCATTTGTTTAAGTTAAAAAATGGGCTTAAAGTTGCCAGGGGTTAGAAGATATTTTTTGAAACCTTGGGTTTATCAAAAAATGAAACAAAAAAATATGAGATATGAATATATTTTCCCTTTTAATAATATGCAATTTATATATAATATACTTCCTTATAGAAATCTCTCATCTCAATCTTAGTCTAAAATATCTATATCATTTAAGATAGAACAGTGATATCATGATTTGCTATTTGTTAGATATGATTAAGATCTCTCTATATAAAAGATCTATATCAATTAAGATATGATTTGCTATCTGTTAGAAATATAAAGATACCCTGTATCAATATTTTAAACTTATATGTTTGAAGAATACATATCCTACATCATCTCTAGAGATGGAGACCCCTTTTATTGTTGCTCCAACCCTTACTGATACCATATCATATCGATATTTAAATATTGTTTAACATTATTATATTTTATTAATATCATAATATCACATCAACGTTATGATATTATATTGCTATCTAATAATAATAATAATAATAACAATAATGATAAAAATAATGATGATGATGATGATGATCATAATAATAATAACAATAATAATAATAATAATAATAATATTATTATTATTATTAGTATGATTATTTAAAATATTTTTTATTGAAGTATCTTCATTTAAAAAATACATATTTATTAAAAATAGTCTAATTTATATTAAAATATATTTATTTTTACTTTTATATACTCTAATAATATACGAATCTATATATAATAAATTTATTTCCCACAATCTCTCAAAGTATATAGATTTCTCTATCATATCCTAAAATCATTATCTATAAAGATTGGATCTGCTATTTTTCAAAATAGAAAGACACCCTTTAGCAATGCCCTAAAGTTGTCTCTTTAAAAATCACATATCGTACATTATATAGCCAAACCCCTTTAGCAATGCCCTATACTTATCTCTTTAAAGATCACATAGCCTACATCATAAAGGAACCCTTAACTGACTTATCTATTTAAAGATCACATATCCTACATCATATAGAACCCTTAACTGAATTATCTATTTAAAGATACATATCCTACATCATATAGGAACCCTTAACTGTAGTGTATATATAATGTATCATAGATTTACTTGCAAGAAGGGCTTGCGAGTATTTTCGTCTTCTTTTTTAAAAGTGTGCGAAAATTCGAAAAAGCCTTTGTTCGTTAAAAAGCTTAAAACCCTATTTTCGCTCCTCCTGAAGAAAGAGGAGACAGAGAGAGAGGGGAGGAGACAAAGGTTTCCCCTTGGGTGGGGACTGTTAGCAACAGGACGTTTGTTCCTTTCTCTCTCTAAACAAAGGTATCTTCTCTCGTTTCCATTATTGTATAGCTCTCTCTATAAAGTCCCTTTTTTCTTTTCATGATATCTAGGTTTCTTCTCCTGGTTCTTCACTTATATATCTGAAGAATTTCTGAAATTTTCTCTTTTTTTTGGGATCTTATTGTTTTTATGGTGAACTTCGTTTGTGGGATTCTCTCTCGTCTTTAAGACTTAGGTTTTCTCTAGGGTTTTGGGTTTTTCTGTACGAGTCTCAGGAAACTTGCATTCATTTCTGTATTCTAGGGTTTTGATCGAAAGGGCTCTAAATTTGGGCTCAATCTAGGGTTTTTGGGCTCCAAGTGTCTATTGCATTGGTATTGAGAGGCTTGCTTTTGCTCATGTGATTTAGGGTTTTAATCATAAATGTAATGTGTTCAACCTTTCTAGTATATTTTTTCTTATGTTGAGAGGTTTTGGGTTTAATGGCTCTCTCTTTTTTTGATTTGAGGTTTTGGTTGCTTGAAGACTCTGAGAGAGAGAGATTTGCGGTCTTATGGGTTATCTTCTGTTCTTTCATTATTTTAACAGCATCATATTATGTAGAGAGAGACTTTAGGAGAGGGTTTAAGGGTCAAAGTTTATTTATCAACACTATGATTCTTTTCTTATTTTTTGATTTTTTGCTTCTATCGTTATAGCCCTGTAATAAACTTGTCTTTTTGGTGTTCTTCAGCTATTTTTTGCCTGAATACTGTGGTGGTTTGTGTGAGAGAGGGAGGATTGTGGGGTGAAGTTCTTATAGGAGAAACACGATTCCTTTGTCAATTGTTATTTTATGTTGTAGTGCTATTTCACTAGTATAATTTACAGGTATTTACCCCTCTTCTTCTTCTTTAGCAGATATGGAGTCTCAAGATAACAACTCTCCCCCTGTTCCCAGTGCTCAAGTGGTACGGATATCATTTAAATTTTTTTTTTCCCCTCTTTGAACTGGTTGAGATTATGTGTTTCACCTTCATTGTATCAAGTGATTATTTTTTAATTAGTAGAAAATTTAAGTGTATTGTTTAATTATGTTTAGTATTGATTCTTACTTATCAATAATAAAGTGCTGATTCTTTCAATTATAAAAAAAAGTCAAAAAGATCCAACAGTCAAACATGCCCTTTGTCTTTAAGTATCAAAAACAGTTTCGGGCATGTTTGATAATGTGGTGCGGAGGATTTCCTGAAACCTGGATCTTCTAATTCCCTGAAGCCAGAACTGTTGATATCTGGAACCTTTGGAATAGTTGTTTGATAAACTCTCTGTCTGGAAGTTCTCAAATACAGAGATTAGGCTGCACAATGATCTAACAAAGCTTCATAAAGATTAACCTTCAAGGCTTCACAGATAGATAGGGAGAGGGTATGGTTAGAGACTCACCTAGGGCAAGGAGTAAGAGAGAAAAATGACACATTTAGATAGAGAAACGAGTTACAGAGAAAAGACCATGGTTAAAGAGACGAGAGAAAGAAAAAGGACACAGTTAGAGACAGTCAAGGGCACAATTAGAGAGAGAGAGGATTAAGAGAGTGGTAAAGGACACCATCAGATCGAGAAAGGAGTTGGAGAGACAGAGCACTGCTAAGAGCAAGGAGCTAGTTAAAGAAAAGGGATGGTTAGAGAAAGAAAAGAGTTAGAAAATGCATGGTTTAAGAGAGATTATTTAGAGAGAGAAAAGGTATGGTTAGAGAGAGTTCGAGAGAAAGGGCATGGTTAGAGAGTTAGAGAGAAATGGTATGGTTGCAGAGAGTTAGATAGATAGAGAACGGTTAGAGAGGGAGAAGTTGGTGAGAGGATGGGCGCATTTAGAGAGAGAAAGGAGTTAGAGAGAAAGGGCTCAGTTAGAGAGGAAGGCTTGGTTAAATAGAGGATTTAGAGAGAAAGAGCATGGTTAGAGAGAGAAAGGGGTTAGAGAGAAAGGGCTCAGTTAGAGAGGAAGGCTTGGTTAAATAGAGGATTTAGAGAGAAAGAGCATGGTTAGAGAGAGAAAGGAGTTAAAGAGAGTTTGGAGAGAGAAAAAAAGGACACGGGAAATGAAAAAAAGTTGAGAAGCGAACTTCCTAAAAAATAGAATATGCGAACTTCTATGGGGGCATGGAAGCTGCAATTTCTCACTTTTGGAGAACCCTAGACTTCCTAAAGCCAGTTTCCTGTAGCACTTCTTGCTAACAAAACAAGGAAATGCTATGGTAAACTGGAACTTCTAGCTTCTGGAGCTGGAAGTTCCAATTCTCAAACATGCCCTAAGACTCTTACCATAAAAAGGGTTGAGAGTTTATTATATTCTACAAGAAAAAAAGTTAAAAGATGATCCTTATGTTATAAAAGAAGTGAAGTGTTTATTTTTTGGGTTGATTTACAGGTGGGTAATGCCTTTGTGGCCCAATATTACCATATTCTTCATCAATCCCCCAGCCTTGTGTACCGATTCTATCAAGATTCAAGTGTGCTTGGGAGGCCTGAGCCAGATGGTGAAATGAGTTCTGTGACAACGATGCAGGTAATTTGATAGAAAACGAAAATTAACAATGAACAAAATTTATCATTAGTGTTCTTGTTGTGTGGTTAAATGGTTTAGTATAATTCTCCTATGCCTAGATGAATGATTTCTTTTTGGTTGATTGATTTGTTAATGTGTGTATTTATGTATGTATGTAGACACGCACACACACACGCACACACTTGCACTCAGATGAGCATGAAGAAGGAATCAAATTATTCTTTGTTTTATTTATAGAATTTTATCATAAGGTGTTGTATATTGTATCCTTTGTTTGTTGTCATCCCTTTCTTCTGGGTTGGTCCTCAACATAATGCCACTGCAGAAATTTGCACCATCAATACTTACATGCTACTGTTGTACTATAATATTATCGCATTACATTTTTGTTGATTGGTGATTAATATTTCTTGCTAACATGCAAGTGTATCAACGGTTCCTTGCATGAGTATAACTAAGAGAAGAAATAGTTTTTTGACCTGATCTCTCTCTAGATACCCTAATTGCTTCTTTAACACATGTTGAAAAGGAATATCAAAGAATTGATTTTTTCTAGAATTTCCTGTCGTACATTTGCATGTGTCTGTGGAGATACTAACCTGATGTCATGTTTAGGGAGTCCCTTTTCACAATTAAAGGACTAGAACAAAATTTACTGAAAATATTGGGTCAATTTAGAAGAGTTCTAACTTCTGCCTATGAAATCTACCAAATCAATAGGGCCTTCCAAGTCTTTATACTCGTTGTCAAAATCCTGTCTTTGGTTACCCAACGAGCTGCCATGGATTTTTCAAAAAAAAAAAAGGAAAAGAAAAAAAAGAGCTGCCATGAGTTATCTCATTTTAGCTCTAAAACTGGGCTCAAAGAGTATCAACTATGCATAACAGACTTACATTGCCGTCATTAGGTCCTTTGCCTTTACTGCTTGAAGCTCTTTCTTTCCAATAATACTGCTTGAAACTCTTAAGTGCCTATGTTATGAAAATCTGGCCAGAATACAATTGACTGGGTTTTTTAGGCATATCCTGAACCAAAAACTTGGTTGAGATGTCCTGAGATTGACTAAAATCTCTCTCTCTCTCTCTCTCTCTCTCTCTCTCAAATGCTGAACTAAAAACCTGGTTGAGATGTCCTGGGAATGACCAAAATCTCTCTCTCTCTCCCTCGCTCTCGCTCTCGCTCTCTCTCACTCGTATTATACAATTCCCTATAACTCTCTCAGTGTATGGCTAACATAACATGTACCCACAGGACTGATAATTAAACATTATCCTTTATTCTTTTCATGTCTCCATTTCTATTGTAGTGTCCTGTTAAACATTATCTTTTATTCATTATATGTCTCCATCTCCATTATAGTGTGCTTTCTCTTGGGATATGCTTGCTTCTTGTTCCTATCGATCAAAAAAAAAAGAGCTCTCTTTTCTGCATTTTGCACATGTATTGGTTTTTTCATTTGTAGTTTCTTCTGCATTTCTCATGCTGATATTTTTATCTTTCCCAAGGGCATGTTGGGATGCCAACCCAAACCATGGCTTGGGAGACATTTGGAAAGTTAGTTGGTTTATAAAAATTCAAAGCTAAAAACTTAGAATTATGGTATGCATGGATGCTGCTGCTAAATGAAAATGTACCTGACAAATACAAGGCCAAACTCCCCTCCCAACAAAAAAAAGTCATCTCCAGAACATTGTCTTCGACAAGGACTTATGGCCCCAATGCCAAACCCTTCATTCCCTTTCTCTCATCTTCAACTTGAAGAGGGAGGAGTGCTTAGAGAGAGAGGCGATTGCTGAGAGACCAATGCTATGCAACAATTAGGGCTTGAATATAGTGGGGGTTTTGGATGATTTGGAATAAAACAAGGAAATGGGGGAGTCGGCAGCTTCAATCCAGATATGAGATGGCCAATTCCCTTTCATGGTAAAAAAATGGGTTGTCCACATAATCCGTGGCTGAAATTTTCTTGTTTTTTCTGGTGAAATCTCTTGGACATCTCTGTTTGCTACTCGCAGGACTTTAAATCATGAATCCAAGGGGGAGGAGATGGATGTGAGATTTTTTGCAAACTCACTGTAGTTTGTGGGGTTGACTTAAATGTCAATGCAGTTATAAATAAAGGTAGATGGGTTGGATGCTCTATTTTCCTCAGCCGAGGTGCCCATCTTGGATGCCATGGACTGAGGATGGAAATTGCCCTCCCTGGGAAAATTGCCATTAGGGGGTGATATAAAAAATATGAGAACCTTGTGATCATTATTTGGTGTTTGTAAATGCTATCATCTTTAATTCTGTGGTTTTTAATTGGTTACATCTTTCATTTACTGATTTTATTTGTGAGATGTGATCTACTAATGAACTTTGGGATTTTCTTTTTCAAATTTATAATGTTCAAAGTTCAATTCAATCGATTGATTCTGCATATATATGCAAATGTTTATATATATTTGTTTCAGGTACACACACATGCACATGTATTTATAAATATACTTTTAGATAGATGTATGCATATAATGTACATATGTATACATATAGTGCATTCAGGGCGCACTTATATGCAATATATATGTGTGTTGGACATCTCGAAACCGAGGCGACCACATCACACCTAGGTGCTTCCTAAGTGCCGTGTAGCGCGTTCTTCTATTCAACACTGGTTGTTGAGAGAGAGGTGACTGCTTGAGAGAACCAAATGTTTCAGTGATAGAGCAAGTTGAAGAGAGAAATTTTTTGTTGAGTACAAATTTTTTTGGTGAATTTCAGTGACTTTTGATTATGGGCTCACCTCAGGCGGAAATGGCAGCCAGCTACTCTCAACCGCAGATTGATTTTAATGCAGTTTGTGAAATTCCATTCCATCAGATCGCCATCTGCATTTAAAAGAATTGTAGATTCATGTTCATTTAGAGCAACAAAGGGCAAATTGATCTTTTTGCTTGTGTCCATGTCACTGTGTGTTTTTGCATAAAATTATGTATCTGTGTTTATGTATTTCATATGCATATGTTGATATATATGCATGCACATTCTCGTGAATATAAGCACTATATAATAGGTAGTGATTTTAATGTATGTATTTTGGGAGTGATTATAAGAAATTTGATTGAAGAATGACGGCTCTGTGTATTGTTATTCTGGAATAGGCCATCAACGACAAAATACTCTCCTTGGACTACAGTGAATTGAAGGCAGAGATAAAGACTGTAGATGCCCAGAAGTCGTTCGATGGTGGAGTTATTGTTCTGGTCACTGGGTATCTGACTGGCAAGGACAATTTAACAAGGAAGTTCACACAATCATTCTTCCTTGCTCCACAAGACAAGGGTTTCTTTGTTTTAAATGATGTTTTTAGGTATGTGGATGAATCGGAAAAGCTTGAGGGGAAATCAGCTTCAACCGATGGCATCAGTGAAACTGAACCTGATTCTCCTTTGACATCTGAGCTAGGTACGTTTTATCTTTGTCCATCTTCATAGAAAAATGAAGTTTATTTCTTTGGGAGGTATACCATAACCAAATTTATCCAAAAAGAAAATGTTATATTATACCCCAAATACCCAATGGACTTCAGGAAATCATAATCCACTGGATTATACTATACTATCAATTCCAGTCGATGGCCATAGAATGAGTTGGTATCCTTTTCTCTTATACCATACTTGTGGGGTACGCATTTACTAAGAAAATAATGTTTTTCAGAACCAGCCCCCACTGTTCAAGAACATGAAGTATCAAAGCAAGCTGCTCCTGTGGTGGAGAATGGTGTTAATAATGCTCAAGGAGACCTTGAAGCTTCTGATAATAGTGAAGGCTCTGTGGTTGAGGAAGAAGTTCTGTTGGAAAAGACTACTGACATTAGACAGAAGGACGTCCAATCCAAGGTTGAATCGCCTTCTCAGGTTCAGGAAGACGTTCCAAAGAAGTCTTATGCTTCTATTGTAAGTGCTTTCACCATTGGAGATTATTTTATAGATATGGGCTAAGTTTTATTTTTCTTTCTTTCTCGTTTTAAATCAATCAGTTCAGTGAGTTCTGGGTTTGAGCCTAATAAAATGATTACTATTGAACAGGTGAAGGTTATGAAGGAGAATAAGGCTCCAATGTCAGTTCAAGTTCCTACTAAAGCTCTGGTTAAGGAAGTTCCCTTGAAGGTGGCTCCAAAAAATCCTGATTGTTCACCGGTTGCCTCTCCAGCACCTGCTCCAGCACCAAAAACCCTAGAGTCTAGCAATGGCAATGGTCCTGAAAGTAGCAGTCCTGAGGAATCTGAAGGTCCGTAATTTAGTCTCATGGATGGATATTTATAGTCCGAGTTATGAGATGTCTGATTAGGTGAAGGATGCTACAATTTAATAGATTATGGCGAAACCCCAGTCACATGGGTTGTCAATCTCCAATAAAGTAATGGATGGTGGTGGAGAGAGTGGGACCCAGAATTGGCTGTTTTCCCATTATGGTAGGGGTCCTGTTCTTTTCCCATTACCCTCCATTATTTCATTGGATGGTGGTGATGACTAATGAACATGGGTTGTTCCATAGTCCTAAGGATTGTTCCATGGTCCTAAGGGATTATGTTTCACATCTGATTATACCTAGAACTAGATCTTCCCTTATAGTATTCTTATGGACAATCTTGTTTCTTGCAGCTGAGGGTTACTCTATTTATATTGGGGGCTTGCCTATGAGTGCTACTGTTTCCAAAGTAGAGGAGGAGTTCAAGAAATTTGGACCCATTAAGATTGGTGGTATCCAAGTCAGAAGTAACAAGGTTTGCCTAATTACACACTGCTATGCATTTTGAGTTTGAATATCCCTATCGTTACGAATTGTGATTTATGTGGTCATTTCTACGTCACTTTTTTGTAGCAACAGGGATTCTGTTTTGGTTTTGTGGAATTTGAATCACATAGCTCTGTAGAAAGTGCATTGAAGGTACGTCAGACTCTTACTTTTGATATATGATCCTGAAGTAACAAAAGTTGAATACTCTGTCTTGAATGAACACCGTATAACCTGCAATTCCTTTTCTTTTAGTGGCATGGGCAACTGCATTACAAATTCATCTGATCAATTGTACATTTGGCATTCTATGGGATTAATGACTTTTCTTTTCTTTGTTTATCTTTGGATTGTTTGAATGGACCTACTTTCTATGGAACTTTAAGAATAACCTTATCAAGGTCGTAACTTATGAGCAATTCAATTTTCTTGATCAAATAATTTTTATTGGATTGACCCCTTTGACTAGTCATAAATTATAATCCAATCTTTGATTGTTTAAGACAATTAATATTGGGATTCATGCAAGCAATATTGAAAATTCAGTCGCTTGGCTGCCTTTAAAAACACCTAGGCGTGGCCTGGGTGGTCGTGTTCCTAGGGCAGGCACCTAGGTGGTGCCTAGATGCAACTTGGCCGAGGTAAAAAAATGCCTTCCCAAGGTCAAAGATGTATTTTTCCCCACTAAGATTGGGTAAAAGGGCTTTGGGGAAC